GCTAGAAATTCATAAAAAATTTTCTTTTTAAATCTAAGATTTTAAGATTTAATACAAGGCTCCTTACAAGTTTGTTAATCTTTATCACAAAAAAAATGTCCATCGGAAATTCAAATTAAATTTTTATGAGAGTTTGAAATTTAAATTTTTACAACAAGGGGTTTTCACTAGATTTCAAATTATCTTAGATAGAAATTCATAAAAGTTTTTCTTTTTATATTTGAGATTTGAAAATCGTATACAATGCTCCTAACATATTTTTACAATAGCAGTTGAAAAATAAAATAAATTCATAAGTCACAATTTACTATAACAAGCATTCAAAGTTTGAATTTTGACAACATATTATGTAAAAATCGCGAAATCACGAAAATTTGCAAATTATTTTAGGCTAGAAATTCATAAAAAATTTTCTTTTTAAATCAAAGATTTGAAAAATTTTAACAATCTATAATATATCCTAGACAGATAACCGTCTCCGCTCAGAATCGTTTTTCGTATACGATGATATAATATCATTGGATTCAAATTTAATTCCATCCATTACAGTCACCCACTTGTAACCTACTGTACWGCAGAGCGACATCCACGACTTACCCGCTTTTTTTATTCTGTAAACACTTTCTCYCTCTCTAAACTTGCTCAAAACTATCAAGTGTAGCATTTTTTCTGAAAGTTAATGTTCTTGAGCTGGTACTTTAGAGAGCTCATTTTTCGATTTTCGTACTTGAAATAAAAACGGTTAAAGGAGAAAAACGTACGATTTCACTATTTTGTAATATTAAATAATTACAGACGATGTTTTTTTTTTTTAAATTCTAACAATATAATTAATATAGTATAACATATCCTAGACTGATAAACCGTCTCCGCTCAGAATCGTTTTTTTTACTCAATGATATACTCGTAATATAATTTTATTCAAATTTAATCCTATCCATTACAGTAACCCATTTGTAACCAACTGTACTGTCTGTACAGCATAGCGGCATCCACTTACTTACCCTCTTTTTTAGTTTGAAAATGATAAAATAAGATTATAAAATACCATTATTATTATTTATTTTATGACCCGACTTTAAACTATTAGGCTATTATAAATATTCGAATAATTTTGTCTTGTTTTTTTTTATTGATCTTAATCATTGGCAACTATAGTTATCAGCGTACTTTTTTTGGGGGGGGGGGCAGGAAAGTCAGTGACTGAGACAGGCCTAACTCAAACTATTGAAAATGTTTTTATTCAATTATTTATTGAATTTTAACTATTGATACAACTGTAATATATGCTGCTTTAATGATATTAATAGCAATGACAAATATATAATTAATATTAGAGAAATATAACAACTATGAATCTAAGTTGAACAAAACTCTTATAAATATCATTAAATATCTACAAACTGACTTATTATATTTTTATGGGTTCGATTGTATTACAAATCAATTTTAAGATTTAATTTTAAAATAACCGTCAAAGATATAACAATTTAAATTTAAGATGCGTGATTTTAAGTTCAGTCGTTAAGCATTATATTGTACAAATGGTATTCTATTGTATTTTTAAGATTTATTTCGAGACAATTTTGTTATGAATAATATTATGACAGTAATATATTGTAATATATTTATAATTTATCACAAAATACTATTTTTAAATATGATAATCATTGGAGAGCTATTTTAATAATGTTTGAATGTTAATTAATTATAAGCTGCGGATAAAAATTTTTTTTTTCGTGCAGAAATTGTTTGTTAAAGTGATTAAATTTTTTCAAAATTGTACAGCTATATGACCGAAAATTACACTACGTATGAGGTGGAAGAACCTTCCAAATCATTTTTAAGACCAGATTCATTGATTGGTAACGTTGATGGATTAATTAGAGGCTTATCAGAAACTCCAGGACGCGAACCCCAACCATCATACAATAACCTTGTAAGTGTAAAATAATTTATTAATTTGTTATAATGTCTATAATTAATTAGATTTCTATTTCTATTTAAAGATTTCAAATATTCTTATTGAAAGTCCAACAATCAACACTACTGGATTTGATTTGTTATCTTACGACGTACAACGTGGTCGTGATGTTGGTCTCCCGCCCTACACTAAAATAAGAAGTTTATGTGGACTACCACAAGTAAAGTCATTTGATGATTTATCAGATTATATACCATTAAAAGTAAGTCACATTGCTCAATTTATTCATGTTTGTTTTGAAATATTAAATTTAAACTACCTAGCTTGAATTGTTATATTATATAGAAAATTGACCAATTAAAAGATTTCTATACAACGGTTGATGATATTGATTATTACGTTGGGATTTTATTGGAAAATAAAATAACCGGATCTATGTTTGGCCCAACTGGAAGTTGTGTTATTGCTGATAGTTTTTACCGATTTAGAAATGGTGACCGTTTCTTTTACGACGTCAAAGATCAACCTGGTAGCTTTACTTCAGGTAAGATAAAAAAA